TCGAACGAACGATGTAACGATGTGGTAAGATTTAAGGACGACCAGTTGAATAATTTAATTTATATATATCTTAATTGCATCGTTTCAGAAATTATTATCCAATTTATACTGTGTCAGGGGGATTATATATGATCCAAATTGTGATACGTTAAATCGAAACTGTTTTGTCGTAAATCGCGGCACGATTACGATTAACGTTATATTATCGTTCCTGATATAATTTCAAACGTATCGTGCCGTGATACGCAGAAGATATATTTTCATTGAAATCTGTTTATCAATTTATAAACAATTTAATTTGTATTAAACGAAGATTAGAGTTATCTGATTCAATATCGTTTATATAACCAATAATAAATAAACCTCTTCTTCTTGCCTTCATTTCGTTCTTTCGAATTAACCAACTCGTTATCTCAATATATCAGAATATATCCCAGTGGATGCACACCTGACAAACGCACGCTTTATTTCAACAACAACAGTATATTCTCCAACGGCACGCCGCGAAGGAAATTTAATCTCCTCGTTCAGATTACAAACTGCGGGGGCTTAAAAATAATCCCCCTCGATTCATTATCACCATTGGTTATTTCGCAATGCGCACGTGCATCCGCTCTACGGGAGATGAATACACCTTTTCACCAGGGCGAGAACAATATAAACCTCTGAACAGTGTCTGACTAGGCACGCGCTCGCGCCCATTCAAGAACCGTGTCTACGTGTCCTTTTTTTAAACTCTCCAAGAGAGCTCTCCATCCGGTCTAATTAGAATTCATCGGTAAATCGATGCCTCTCGACGGACGAGTGACCCGATTTTCTCCGGTTCCAAGTGATACAAAACTCGAGAGAGCCGATGGCGAATCATCCGTCAGCAAATTTCCCCCCTCCCGCCGGCTAACACGAGCCGAACTTTCTCGTCTGAGGCAATTATCCGCGCGCTTAATTCCGTTCAGAGGTTTCGCGGCGTAAACTCGTGATACCGATTTAAATAGCTAACGCGGGGGTGGGGGCGCGCCGCTTATCGCGCGTATCAACGATACACGATCGTTGGGATACACGATTGTGCACGATGTCGCGGATCGTTCTTAATAAATCTGTCCGGGTTTTGACGGCTGATCATTCGCCGGATATCACTACTCGGTATCGCTTTACGTGATATGAATGCGGCGGATGGCTGGATTTGGAATGTTTCGCTGGAATTGATTCACGATGGATCAACCTTTTGATTTATTAATTCCCGTTATTCCCGTTCTGGGGTGTTTTCAATTTTCCTTTGTGCCAAGATCCGTTTCGAAAATAAAGGTTAAGAATCGATGCTTGTGTTGCGTACGGTCTAAGAAAATAATTCAAAATAATTTATTTTGGGGAAAATTTCGTATTCTTTCGGATTCTTCAAAAAAGTTTAGAAAACAATCTTGTAGTATCTCAACATCATCTCAGGAAATGGATCGTATCACGATGTTGGAAGAGAGATTGCATTAAAGAGATAATACTATGCTTTTTTCTATAATGCATCAGGGATATTTGGATTTTGCGCGAATCAAAAAGAAAGTTTGAAACAAAGGGTTGAAGGGGAGCCGAAAGCTTTCGACCGAAAATTCTAAGCAGCCTCTGTCCTCAAAGGTTATCCACCCCTCACGATGCATCAAGCCCATTAAACCCAGGCGTTGGGCCTCGTAGAAGCCCTTCAGTCAACCTCGAAGCGCGTCACTTCGAGGAAAACGAAACCACTCTCGAGACGCTCGAGGGCGACCACGAGGAGGACCCAGTTGAGTAAGAGAGAGAGAGAGACTTCTCAAAGAAGAAAGGGAAAACGAGAAGACTACTTCGGTACAGGGGTAGAAAAAAAAAGCAAAAAAAAAAGACATAAAATGATACACACAGAGACATCGTTTAAAACTCCTACGTGACCATGTCACCCTCGTCGTTTCTTTTTCAGCGAGCACAAAAGAAGATTTCTTCGCTAGTGGAATGACAAACAGTCGAGGACAAATGAGGCGATGGCGTATCCCATATTAGCGAGCATGGAGTTAATTAATTCGACTAAAAAATTGAAAGAGAGAGAGAGAGAGAGAGAGAGAGAGAGAGAGTTAAAAAAAGAAAAAAGAGGTAACAAATAAATAAAGAAGCGAGCGGAATGAATACGATTGCGGGGGCGTCGCGACGTCGCGCGGTTATTGCCTCGGCCTGGAAAACTTGCTCTCGAGTTTATCCCTGTCTGGGAAGAAAAGTCCCGAGGTTTTATCGTGGCCTCCGCTTTGATTTATCCAAGCTGAATCGGGCGCAGCTCCATTGTGCCGGAAGATCGTATCGTAGCGGAATTACACTACGGTCGCGCTGTTTATTCGAAAAAAATTACGCCCACCATCGTTGTACTTTTATATTTTATTTTCTCCGAGATAGGGAAGGAGGTCGTTAACTCGTTACTTAAAAATAAGTATCTCTTTTCCCTTTCGATTTTAAACTTTGCTAACGCAATGGAATTAATTCTTTCTTTTTCCTTTTTCTTTCTTTAAAAAGAAATTAGAAATTGCACTCGAACGAAGACTTAGGAAATACAAACAAGAGAGATGGAAATTTTTTGTGAAGAGATCGATACATGTATTTTTCGAAATTCGATTCAAAAATCGAATAGAGGAGGTTTTATCGATTATGCGGCGAGCGGAGACGAGTTTCATGGGATGAGATGATTCGTTCGGTTGTCGAAGTTGCTAAGCCACTTGACGCGAAAACAGTGTTAATGCACATCCATTTTCGCTTTATTGTCAATGAACGAAGTTCGCCACCGAGATGCAGAGTCATAAATGCGGTTTAATTGCATCGGGCATTTCGCGTGCATTACGCGTTATCTAACGTTCCGACCGAGGGAAGACTATAAACGTTGCGGAGGACTAGATTCTAGGCATAAATAATAGCCTAGCACGATGGTATAATTTTCGGTCGATACGATATGATCTATCCATTACTTTATTGCTCTAATAAATTCATTCCAATCCTCCACAAATATGTAATCATTTCTTCGAAACATTTTCAACCTGAATAATACCTCTTCCAAATATTGAATACTTACATAACGAATTTTTCCATAATGTAATTCCTTCCAAAAATTTTAATAACGCCGAAAAACCATATAATACTTCCGTGTGTATCGAGTAAAAATTGTCCCGTTATGGTAAACGGAAGTTTCACGTACGAGAGATTGAAACCTTGAGCAGTGCGAGAACAACAAGTCAACAAGAAACTTAAACTTGTTAATATTCATAAGCCGTTGATTTATATTGAAATCCTCCAAGACTCATCTTTTCCAAAGAAGCGATCCCTCTCTCTCTCTCTCCTGGCGAAATAATTTATCGCTTCGCTTTCCATTCTCGAAATTTCACTCCCTCGTTTGAATCGCAAATCGGGAGAGCCAATCGCACAAATTTTCGAAAATGATTGAACGCGTTCCACGTTGTTTTAATCGTGGAACACGTTCATATAACAGCGAGTGTCAGAACGGGGCAATCTGTTGGCTAAATTACGAGCGGCGATGTTACGTCGAGATATCGAGATATATATAGCAAGTTTACAGCGTCCTACGGACAAGGGGGGTGCTAAGGGGGTGGATAGGGGATGGTAGCGAGCACGATGTCCCCGATGGCACAAGGGACCTGTTACGTATAACACAAGATTGTTCATAAGTTGCAGCACCATCGCTTTCAACGTCTCTCCCAAACCCTTTGTCGGGCTCGATCAAGGCAAAGAATCGATAATTTTCCCTTCAATTTTCATTTTCCATTCCTTTCCGCCGGATGTGGGTACGCGGGGATCGAAGTTAATTAGGCTGAAAGTTTGAAAAGGGAGGGGGTGGGTCGGAAGCGATGTTAATTTTTAATCCGTGCGTTGATCGATGTTAATTAAATCGGTGCAAACCCGTTGAAACATTCAGCCTCGTGATTAATAATACGCCGGTTAACTGAGGGGATCGTTTAATTAATCGCATTCCGCGTGATTAGTCATTTATTGTGCGATCGAAATTCGAGGGATTATACGCATTTCGGTCGCTTTGGGCGGCTAGGGGGGAGGAAATCTCGTATGATGATGCTGATCGACGAGAAAATGAAAATTTGTGATGAATTATTCGCCAGGGTGCAACGATTACGACAGTTGTCAGTTTTCAGCGGAATCGTCGGTCGAGAGAATAAAAGTGACGCGAGATTCTTTCTTGAATTCCTTCTTTATAAATAATATTTCGTTTCGTTATTTTAGAATAATAATCCACGATCTATTGAACTCAAAAATATTCATCGTATGTCTTCATTACACGTATACGATATTTCCAATTTTTTATTTATTACTATCTTTCCGTTTCCTTCGTTTTTCCTTTAATAGATCTACGTTTCGTTTTCGCGAAATTTCGTTCGGGTAGCCGTAAACATTCTCCACGAAAATTACTCGATCCTTTTAAAGATGGAAAAACTGTGGTTACAGCGAGAACGGAGGAGAAAGCAGAAGAACGAAGAAAAATGTCGAGGATGTTGGGAGGAAAAGGTTATAAGATGGTGCTGTCTGCTTTATATTCTCGTCTGTATCCCGGGTTATGAACTCGTCCTTTTTTCCCGTGGAACATCTTCCAGGTGTGCACGTAGCTGAAAAGCATCCGGATAAACGCCTCGGCAGCTGGGAAAGACACGCGGGGAATGAAAACCGGAAGAGGGGATGGAGTGTTCGGAGATGGAGGATGGAGGGTATATGTACAAATCTACCTGGATACGCAAGAGCGAGCAAGGATAAAAAGGGTAGAATGGGGGAGGAATGGAATTGCATTGGAAAAGAAGATTCCACCAACCATCAGCTCTCTTGTAGCCAGATTCTTCTTCGAATGAAAATGAAGAATGAGAAAAGAGGGGATGAAGAGAATGAGACGGGAGGTTTCGTTCGATTTCGAAACAAGATTTTGCTGCGATTCCCAAGATGATCGTGTCGTTTGTATTCATTCACGTATTATTCGTTGAAACGAATACCTACGTGAATTATACGTTATGATTGATCCGATAACAAGGAATTATACGTACGCTAAATTATAGGAAACGAATGTATACGAGGCCTGAGCTAGGATATCGCGTGCTCGTTGTATCCACGGGGAGTGATAAAGGAGATAGTGTCACTCGTCTAGCTAATTACTAGTCACCAACTATACGACTCCTGGGAGCTCGCTCGTGAATGTGGCCGGCTCGTTTCGTGTACGTACGAAGCTAGTGGCTGTGGTCAGTTGTGCTGCTCTGGATTTTCATCCCTGAATAACAAAATATGATGTTAGTTCGTATATGTAACGATATTTCGATCCACTTCCACGAATCGATCATCGTATGTCTTCCAAATAATTCATTTCGTTGCACGAAAATGTATTATATTTGAGAATAAAACTCTCACGAAGATTGTTAATAGAGTTATTGAATCGAGAGTTGATTTTACATATACTTAAATATATTTCCATTGTATTTTCCTCCCTTTTTCTCTGGAATAATTTTATATGAGATTGGGGAGAATAAGCGGTTGTTTCGAGTTCACAAACTTGCGGATACCACAAGCCCAGTAATACGAATGTAGACAGCACGCGAAAGTATCATATCATTTGCGTGATATCGGAAATAACCTCGTTCGTTTTCGCGCCCGTTTTTTTCAGGGGCGCGATTTCGCTCTCTTCTCTTCCATCTCGATAGAAATTTCGCGCGAAATTTATCAAATCAAACCGATCTCTCGAACGACGCCATACCTTAACGAGAAATACCTTCTCCAAAAGGAAAACAGAGGCACCGCAAAGGTACCTCTTCTCTAATTAAATTTATTTCGAATCTATGGAAATGAAATAAGGCTTCCACTCCAAAGCAATTCAATTTCGTTAATAAAATTATTATTAAATCTCCTCTACTCGAACATAAACCAAAAAGAAAAGAAAGGAAGAAAAAAATATTTTTTTAAGAAATAACGAATATCATCAAATTGATTAAAAGAGCGAGATGCAAGAATAATATCAATTAGAAAATCTCGCTTACCTAAAGGTTTTTTTCTGTTCTGTAACGTTTCTGTAACGGTTCAATCAGAGTATTCCCGTGATATCGGCGATCAGAAAAGTGATGCGGTTTCACGCTAGCCAACCACGGCCACCAAACTTTTCCACGTGTTCCCTGCACAGTTTTCGCGCTTCACCGGCCGCAATTTTTCTTCCACGGGTTGCTGGGTGGCACGGTTTCGACGATTGGTTACACGACGGTGGATGGTCTACATCTGGAAACTCCGCTGCGAAAGTTTCGTCGAAGAGGAGGACGATTGGTTTCCGGGTGAAAACAGCTTTCAGACACCAATTACCAGTTCTCTCTCTCTCTCTCTCTCTCTCTATCTATCTATCTATCTAGTGGTGTGGCGACCACTCGGCCAAAACTCCCTGCTGTCAGGATTTTGCCGGCGAGCTCCTATCCCGAATTAGCGGATGTGCAGATAGCCGAGCCATTATCTGACACAGGCAACACCTGCACCCTGTCTTTCCGCGCCGGCCGAACTGAATAACGATAGCGAAACGAAAATTCTCCCATTAATTACTCCTCCACCATTCTCCGCTAAATTCATTTGTTATCACTTGGAGTGTGTCTATCGTATTGAGGAGTGTTAATGTATCGTTAATGTATCTTTAACAGGCCGAATCTGAAACAGAAAAGGAATGTACAAGGTTAGCAAAACGTCGTTTATTTATATATGGAAAATTGAAACGTGTGAAAGTCTAGGGACACGATACGATAATGCAAATTTTTTGCACGATATTTTAAGGATGAAACTTATTAAGTAATTGAAATTAGATTATTTTTCTATATTGTGTTACCATTTTTTGTAAATTATCATTAAGTGTACTTTTGCTATTTTTTTATTTTTTTGATCTCTAACTTACTTCAATAAGCGAGAATTTGGATAGAATTTAGGTGAGCAATGAGAGATACGATTAAAGAATCGGACAAAAGGAAAGCGGTTGAACGAGGTGAAGAAGAGGAGATTAAGGAAGGGGACGAGCATCCCTTATCTTGTACTTGTGGCCGTAAAGAGGAAAGGGAGAACATTAAGAGATAAAAGATTCCTCGTGCAGAAAATTTACGAGCAATTTCGTTTCGTGGAAGTATTTATGGATGCTTGCTACGCTTTCGAGAACTTCCCACTCGATTTGGGACGTTAATTACGTCAATGCAGTCCAGGAAATTCTATATATCGTTGTAATCTATTATCCTTAAAATATCCAATTACACGCCAAATAAAAAAAAAAAAAAAAAA